CCAGAAATGAGTGGTTCAGGGTGCAAGAGAGGGCTCTGGGCTGGGGAAGGGGGTTGGAGTGCGGGGTGGGGTAAGGATTCTGGCTGGAGGTGCAGGCTCTGGGGTGGGGCTGGGGATGAGGGGTTTGGGGTGCAGGAGGGGCTCCAGGTTGGGGCAAAGGGTTGGGGTGGGAGGAGGAGGGCTCCAGCTGGGGATGTGGACTCTGGGATGGGGCCAGGGATGAGGGGGTTGGAGTGCAGAGGGGGCTCTGGGCTGGGGCAGGGTGTTAGGATGTGGGGTCCTGGAGGTGCTTATCACAGCTCCCAGGAAGCTGCCACCGGGTCCCTGCAGCCCCTAGATGCATGGATGACCAGGGAGGCGCTGCATGCTGCCCTCGCGCCTGCAGGCACCGCCCCTGCAGCTCCCTTTGGTTGTGGTACCCAGCCAATGGGAGCTGCGGAGCCAGCACTGGGATGGGGGCAGTGCACAGAGCCTCCCTGGCTGCCCATGTGTCTGGGTCTGCAGGGACCTGGCAGCGGCTTCCGGGAGCCTGCTTTAGCCCTGAGCCCCTGCTGCGCTGCCGACCAGATTTTTAACAGCCCAGTCAGTGTCCCTTTTTGACTGGGCATTCCAGTAGAAAACCGGATGCCTGGCAACCCTATGAATAGTACTGGTCCCAGTACAGACCCGTTGGGGACACTACTATTTAACAAGCAACACCTGTCCTCATGTCTCTGATTTCACAACCAGGGCTGCAGTAATTCCTGAACAGCAGCCACATGGTATTAACTCATTAACCAGAAATGAAGCAAAAGGTAACTCTAAATATTGTACCCATCCTGCAGGTCTGAGCTGTTCTCATCTTATTAAGTCATCCCAGGAAGTATCTTATGAAACAAACACAAGAGGTCAGAAATATTGCATTTTTAAAAAGTGTACTGCATTTTTAGTGACATTTCAGTAGTACATGTTTGCACTGTTGTAGCCGTGTTGGTCCCAGGATATGAGAGAGATAAGGTAGGTGAGGTAATATTTTTTACTGGACCAACTTCTGCTGGTAGAGGATACAAGATTTCTAGCTACGCAGAGCTCTTCTTCAGTTCTGGGGAAGGAAGCAGAGTGTCTGAGCTAAATACAAGTTGGGACAGATTGTTAAGCAGACGGGGTAACACGTGGGACATGGTCACTTGAAATGAAATGGGCAGTTGAGGGTTAGATTGTTATGCATAAATGGTTTGAAGTGGGAAATTAAGAGTAGCAGGCAGTGATTTTATATATATCCATACATATGGACAAAACTTCCAACACTGCAGGCATACAGTGGTGGGACCATGTGCTGTGGGAAGGGATTTCAGGGTTTTTCTCCCTCTGCTCTACATCCAGACCTTCTCCCCTCCCCCGAGGGTCCCTAGGAGGGAGTTGCCATTGCAGGCCGGAGCAGGCAGGAGCGCAGGGACCAGGCACCCCTGCCCAGCATCAGCAGCAGCACAGGTTCCCTCTTCCCCCGTCTCTCCCTCTGTGCTGCTGGGCTACTAGGGGTTCATTTCAGTACTACCAGCCCTCAGATGCTACTGCACAGCTGGCTCCCTGCACCCCAGGATAGCAACTGCCTTCCCCATTCTGCTTCTTAACCCTCCCTGCTGGCTATGGCTTCCCATGGCACTAAGAGGAGCTGCTGCGGGTTCCAGCATGAGGGCCAAGCAGGCAAAGTGAGACCAGATGCTGGCTGAGCTCCCTCCAGAGCTCCTGCCTCTCCCACCCCTTTCCTTGCCCCTTCCTGCTGGCTTGAGGCTTCTGGACAGTCCCTGGTGCGGATAGGAACTGTGTGGGCGAGTGGGGAGACTGGCTGCACTCTGAGCCACATGAGATGCACAGTAGTTACCAGATTGCTGTACAGCCATGCATGTACACAGCTTAAGGGATCGTTGGTATACACACAGAGAAGTTAGATAAAAAAAACATTAAAAGCCCACCAAAAGCCCCAACGTTTCCCTGGGAAGTGACCAAGAAACCATAGTCAAGAATCTAAATTGACTTCATGGGGCCCTTTCAGGGAAAAAACTTTCTGTCTGCAGTAGACTCTTTCTTGAAATGGCTCGAAGTGTTCTTTGTCTCATCACAAATGCCTACTGCAATGATCACTGCTCAACGTCAAATGTTCACAACTCATGGGTTACCAGATACTGTTCTGTCGTGTCTAACAGAACTGCTTTTATCTCTGATGAGTTCAAGGACTTCACCAAAAGCAATCTCATTCAAGCTGTCATGATTGCACCACGCTGCCCCAAGCAAATGGTCAGGCTAAATGGATGGTGCAGACAACCAAAGATGCCATAATGAGGCTCATTGAAGGAGACTGGCCGACAAGAATTGCTAGGTTCCTCATCACTCAACATGTCACTCCATGCCCAACTACCAGAGCTAGCCCAGCTGAGCTACTTATGGGACGACGTCTTAAGACATGCTTCAACTGTCTCAACCCCAACCTATCTGAGAAATTGCAATGCAAGCAGGATCAGGCTTCAAATTCCTCCGTCATCATCTACCCTGCTTTCCTTCACATCACAAGAAATTTGCTAGAAGTTACAGAGCTGGGCCATGGTGGGTTACTTCAACAATCATCAAGGTCACTGGTCTCATCTCATACAAGGTCCAACTGACAAGTTTGGCATCGCCACATCAACCAGCTGAGAAGATGCTCATCTCTGAGCAATGTTACTCCAGAGGAGCCTTCAGATATCTAGGTATCCTCTAGAGCAAACCATCGATTCTTCATTACCACCTCCAGTCTCTGACACTCAGGGCCGGCTCCAGGGTTTTTGCCGCCCCAAGTGGCAGGAAAAAAAAAAAAGCCGCGATCGTGATCAGCGGTAGCTCCCCCGCGCCGCTTTCTTCTTCGGCGGAAAGTCCTTCCGTCCGAGAGGGACCAAGGGACCCGCCGCCGAATTGCCACTGAAGAGCCGAATGTGCTGCCCCTTCCCCTTGGCCGCCCCAAGCACCTGCTTGCTGGGCTGGTGCCTGGAGCCGGCCCTGCTGACACTACAAGCTCATCGAAGCTGCTTCTCAAAGGGGACAACACTCCTGTCTCTCCAGGGGTTCATGCTGAATCACAGTCACCAAAGACACCGGCCCTGCCAAGCATCCTAGAGATACCACAGTGCAGGTGAGAACACCCAGGATGGCTGGACGAGTATTTTGCCTAATGTGTTATGTGTGCATAAGGGGTGCTGTAGTTTTATGTAGGGGAATGCACTCACCAGGGGCACTGCTGTTAGTAACCACGAGTTGTTGTCTAGAGAGGAAGGGAATTGCTCAGAGTTCAGTTCAGCTTCCTCCTTGCTTGGGGGCAATTCATCTGTGGTTTTCCTGTTAGTGACAAAAACAAAATAAGAGAATTCATTGTTACAGCTCACTGTGAGTGATTCACATGTGTTCCTCACCACACAGATACAACAGTAGCACTACTTTATTTTTTATAATTCAGAATGATAACACACAAGAGCCTCTAAACAGAGGATGACACAGCTGACTGCTCCCTCAAGCATAGAGGCAAAATTAATCAGCCTGACTGCTGAAAGACTCAGATCACGGAGTCCCTAGTCTGCAAGTTGGACCAGGAAACCCCTTACAAATCTAAGTTTTCAATTCACCACACAGCGGAGCATAGGTTGCTCTGATTTGCACCAGGGCTGGTCAGGCAAAAACCACTGCTGAGACTATGAGAGCTGCACAGGAGGCTTTAAATCACGTATACATTCCATCCCTACTGAGCACAGTTTGGCCAGAATGGAGAATCCAGTCCTCTGTGTTGTCAGTCTATTGCATTTGGATGCAGTAGTAGATTCCTACAGCTAGGCCTAGTTATCTCTTTAAAGCAGATTATTTTTTTATCCAGGCTATTATTGTGCTACCATCATAAGTCTCATTATATGTCCATTGGTCCCGTCTCTTACTCCATGTTGCCCTTTCTGTGTGACAAATGTTGCTTACTTCCCATCCTCGCTTGATTAATCTTTTAACCAGCTGTATTTGTGTGTGCAGACTATGTGTTGCTATGCATTCTGCTTTCCACCTCCACACCTCAGATCTTTCACCACAATAATTTATATTCTTTAAAAAAAATATGCTGTTAGCCCTTTACTAGCCACAGCCACCAAAGTGGGAACCAGAAACAACATCAAGGGCTGGGCTGCAGTTTTGCCATATAACCTGTGCATAGGGTGGCGGTGATGCACTGCATCAGAAGTGACTCAGAGAAGGAATTGTGCCTCAGAAAGGCATGATTCCCTCCCTGTTTCCCCCCTTGCTCCAGGGAAGAATAATATATTATTTGTCCATACCAGCAACACAGGTTGGTGCATGATGGGGCAGTCATGATGGGTGGGACTGTCCTTTACCCTGAGACAGAGAGTGTGTAACCAAGAGGTAACCATGTCTGTCAGAGCATCACTAACGCTTGCGATTTTATCATGAGTCCTATGATATTTGCTGTTTTTCTTAACGTCTCAGCTCTGGGAGTCCTTTCTAGCCCTCTTGGCTGTGGAGAAAAGCTTGAAACATGAACCCCAAGGGCTCAAACCCCCACAGGAACCCAACCTTTACTTTCTTATTTTTAATCTCATGATTTTTAAATCTCATAAGACTCACGATTGTTGAGTGCTTGGGTTTTGGTAATACTGCTACCCACAGGAATATTATTGAATGAGTGGGAGACCCCCCAGCCCACACTGAAACCTAGAGGAACATTTTGGAGCAGAAAAGTGGAAAAAGTGACTCATTGCTGTTGTTACTTAAACAGGGAGGACTGAGTAAATGGCTAGTGTGTGGTTTAAATTGAACAGAACCCATTCCCTCATCCTCTCTCTTGCCTCACTGCAGGCAGACAGAATAGTCCCTTTGTATAAAGACTACATCTCCCAGAAGGCAGCTTGGGTGCCCCTCCCAGCCGGCACGCTCTCTCCTCTTCTCCCACCCCTTCCCCAACCTCCGGCAGAGGCAGCAGGACGGTGGAGCGTGGAGGGCTACAAGTGCTTCTCTATTAGACTTTCATACAGCAGCCTAGGAAATGCAACAATCATCTGTCAAATGGATGCAAACATAAGAGAGAGGTATGTGCGCCGGGAATATGGGCATTCTGCAGGGAAGATGAGCTGCTGCCTGTGCAATGGGGCTGGGTTATCATGTCTGCACTTGGCAGTTAAAACCCTAAAGGACAGTACATCTAAAAAGATGCTTTTTAGCCCTTTATCAGTTGTGTCACCCAAATATACTTGAATCCAAATACTATTTGTGATTATGTAGCTTGCGTTTTATAACTCAGCAGATTCCTGCTTGGACAGTGCAAAGCCCCATGATTGAGCACTGTCCAGTAGAGATTTTTTTTAAAAACCTATGTATATTTAGTCTGTAACAGAAATTTCTTTAACAAACAGGGCATTTGGTTTCAAGTTTTTTTTTCTTTTTATAATTAATTAATTAATTGTAGATGGAGAAGTAACATCCGTCTTTGAGTCATCAGTCTTTGAGGCATAATTTCATTCCAAATGCTCTTAATCAAACTGGAGATCTGCTATAGGAAAGCACTGCTTTCCCCCTGGGATTATCAGATTTCCACCAGAGAATATAGATCGTGGATTACTGAGCTACATGGGATTTGCCTGTATCTTTCTAATTACTCTGTGAATTTGAATTTAGGCTTCCTTTAAAAAAAAAAAAAAGAAAAGAAGTTGTTTGCTTTTTATAAATAAAATGATAACTCTGTGCTCTTACATTTTTATTGGTGGTAACTATGATTATCCTTTTTATTTTAGATGGCTTATTGCCTTAATTGGATATTGGTGTCAAAGGTTGATTAGAGTCCCTAATAGATTTTGGATCTGCAAGAGGATTGCAGTTTTAAATGCTTGATTAAAACAATCGCATTTGCTATTTTCCCCTTGAACAGTTGTGAGAGGAAGAATAATGTATGATGTTTGTTACTTTCCTATTGGTTTCTTAATGCATCATGAGACGTGTTTATTTTTCCCCTTGCAGACTGAAAAGAAATACATGTCAGAGGAAATTCGTTTAATCATTTAGCAACTGAAACAAGCCGTATCCCTAGCAAAATATTGGTTAAAGGATAGAAGATCGCTTTGAGGCAACAGCTCATGTACCATGATAACGCTTGATTGTATTATTGACAGAGTTTCCTGAAGCATGGCTTAGATTAGAAGCCGTGGCTTGCTAGAGAGGAGTTCTGATGGCTTGTATGGAGCTTCTGTACCTCACCAAGAAAGGTAGGCGATCAGATCTGTGCAACAATGTGGACTGGAGTTTGCAAGCCCCTCCCTATGAACAGCAGAGTGATGGGGATGATATGGGGGCTAGAACAGCAGCTGCGGTGGCAGCTCTCTGCTGCGATAGGCACTGCAAGTCTACACAAAGGGCAGCCACAGCAGGTCCCACCCAGGCACCCCTTTCCTCCACTCCTACCCCCTCCTTCTCCTGGCAGCATGCAGCAGCATCAAGCAGCACCCAGCCCTGCTGCCAGCCAGCTCACTTGGATGGAGAAGAGGAAGCAGAAAAGAAGAGAGCCTGTTGCTGTGCCCAGGAACTGGAGACATCGTTTACTTATAGGGATGAAAATGTCAATCTGGAGCATACGAGAAACGCCCCTTCTCCTGTGAAGAGTTGCTGCCAGGTTCCCCCTGCCCAGCATAGCTCCTCTACAGAGATCGCACCCGATTGGGCTCATGATCCTACCTCCCTGATCTCTGAGGAAGATGATACTGGATCAGAAGCTGGTTCAGGGAAATCTATAGACTATGGGTTCATTAGTGCCATCTTGTTCCTGGTTAGTGGGATTTTGCTCGTTATTATTTCCTATGTGGTACCCAGAGATGTGACTGTGGATCCTAACACTGTAGCAGCCAGGGAGATGGAGCGACTGGAGAATGAGAGCGCTAGAATCGGGGCTCACTTGGATAGGTGTGTGATCGCTGGGCTGTGTCTCTTAACTCTGGGGGGTGTGGTGCTGTCCAGTTTATTAATGATGTCTATGTGGAAAGGGGAGCTGTACAGGAGGAATAGATTTGCATCCTCCCAGGAATCTGCAAAGCTGTATGGTTCTTTCAATTTTAGAATGAAATCCAGCACAAATGATAATACACTAGAGTTATCATTAGTAGAAGAAGATGCATTTGCCATAGATAATTAGCATGGTCATGATTTTTAAGGCAGTATTTCTACAGGAAAATATGTTCTATTAAAGAAAACAAATACAGCTAAAGATAGGTAGTAATGCAGTTTAATTGCCTGGCAATAAATGTCTTTCCTTAAACTCTGTAACTGAATGTTTGCATTATAAGGGGAAACCTGCTAGGGATAATATAATCAATATCAATGACACTTTCTTATTTAAACCATTGAATAAAAATAAATTTCTGATAACCAGGTTCCCCAAATCTCCTTTATCCTGTTTTTAAAATATTTCCCCCTATTTAATTTCTTAGTACCCCAATACAAAACACTACCATCCTGCCATGTTTGAAAGCTGTTAATTATTACAGCCTACATGAGGATTATTAACAGTCTGCTTGGTAATATATTAAGGGAGAGACCAAATCTTGCATTTAATCCCAGCAATTAAGGGTGACAGTCTCTTATACTTTCTTTTTAAAACTGACCCCTTTTTTTCCTGACATGAAAGCCCAGAAAATACCAGTAGTTCACCATGTATTCATTGAAAACACAGATGTCTAATTTAGAATTCTCCACCTTCTAATTCACAAACATTCAATTATCTCCAAGTAATTGTATAATCAGCGATGATTATTAAAAATGTGAAGTATGGGTGTGGCGCAGGGGAGTGAATAGCTCAGGGCATGGGTAATAGGAGAAAAAGGGCCTTTCACCTCTATGTCAGCAGTTCAATTTCACTCCAGATTGGCAGGGACTGAAAATAGTTAACTTGTGATGGCTCTTTGTGAAATAAGTCTAGTTCCAAATGGACAGATGTCGGGGTAGAAAAACTGCCATAAATTGACACCAATTGACCTCCTTGTTGGGAGTCTCAAAGAAGCCAAAGATTGAAAGAGGATGAAGACGGAAACCTCTCTTGCAACAGAGGTTTGAAGCAAGTTGCAGGGCTGTGCTTGTGCTGAGGTTCTCTGTGTTCTCTTGAAAAATAGATTTTAATCCACTGAGGCTGCCAACTCTGCACCTTTCACAACCAGAGAAAAAAGAAAAGGGGGCTGCATTCTACATGGGTCAGCGCAATAGCGTTCTGTGCTCCACCAATCAGCAACCTACTTGATTTTTTTAAAATATAGACTTCTATAAATAATTGTCAGAAAATAAAGGTTAGATACCTACCAATCAGACTGCCTGGCACTGACTTCATACAGTGTAGTAGCTGGTCAAAGAAAGGTGATGTTATCAGTGAAGTCTATGTAGCACAATGGCCAGCGATTAAATGCTGAGGGAATATATTTGGATGTCTGACATCTTCAATGGAATGCTAAAATAGATGTGTTTTTGTAACTTTTGTTTTGAGGGAAAAAAATGAAAAATGTTGTTGGTCCGTAGTATGATTTCTTAATATACACTGGTTAGGTATGAGCTGATCCACTGGCAAGACGGAAGAGCGGCTAAGGGATCTATTTGCACTGTCCCTGACATTTTGGCCATGGAGTTTTAATAGACATTCATAGCTTGACTGCCACAGTATTGCCTGCCCCAAGCATTAAAAAATCATGAATCAGCCCTCTTCCCCCCCCCCCCCCCAAAATCATGAGATTGGTTTAAAAAGTGAGGATTTTATTTTAAATATTTGAGGGATTTTATTTGCCTTCTAGGATTTGAGCCTTTAGGGTGCCTTCAAGTCACATTTTCAAGCTTCTCTCCGCAGCCATGAGGGACAGAAACTTACTTTCTTTTTTGAGTGAAAGTGGAGATTCTCATGAAAACACTTGACTCCAGGAGCTAGGGCTGGAAGAAAAACACCAAATAGCTTGAGACTCCTGACAAAATAACCAGAGAGCTGGCAACACTCTGAGTGCTATAGTTCTTGTCTTGGGCCTGATTCTCCATCGCCTTGCACTTTGTGATTTTTGCACTGGTGTAAATGACTGTAATAATACCTAGCTCTTATAGAGCTCTTCCTCCCTAGATCTTAGTGTGCTTTACGGAGGAGGGCAATATCATTATCCCTATTTTACAGATGGGGAAACTGAGGCACAGGGTGTTGACGTGATTTGCTCAAGGTCACCCAGAAAAGCAGGGACAGGGCTGGAAATTGAATGCTGGTCTCCTAAGTCCCATTCCAGCATGCTGTTCACTAAACCACTCAGTCTGTCCTCCACAGGTTCAGAGTAACAGAGAATCAGCCCCTCCTTGTCTGATTCTGGAGTCTAAGATTTTACATTGTCACCTCAGAGTCTGGCCAACAGGCTGTCAATTCTCAGTCTTGCATAACTAGTGAAGATCATGAATGCACCCCTTTGCTCTCACACGGAGAGTAACCCACACTGTCTTTGCAGAGCATGTTCAGAGTAAATATCTGCTTTGAAACACAAGGTGCTCTTATAAGCAGATTGACAACAGTTTGTGACTCAAAGCAGGAAAGGGGGAAAATACACGTGAACTGTGCTCTGCTAATGGGCCTTCTCAGGCTCTGAATAAGTATGTCTGGGGATCAGCTTGTCTTCTATGGTCTTTCTTTTAATTCTGTCCCATGTGACTGGAGGGAGGTTTAATTCAATATGAAAGGTATGCAAATCTGTTCCTTTGCACCTCTATTTTGGTGGGCATTGGGAGGGCATAATGAGGGAAAACACTGAATAACCTATTGTCAGCTGGCCTATTATGCCTTTCCGTCTGGCTGATTACTTCATAAGACAAATGCCGGACTTGTGTTGGGCATTCACTCCTTTGTGGTTCAGATAGTCCTATGTGCTTGCTCTGGGATTCCCCTCATAAAAATGGGGCAGCATTTGTGCAGCTAATAGATTTGGACAGCCTAAGGAATCTATTCGAATTTCCAAGGTGTCCACTGAGGTAGCACCCAGAAGGATTAGAACACATTCCTATCTTCCGCTGTTTGCATATTGCGTATCTGTAAGGAATGTCATGTTGTACCGGTGCTTTAATGTTGGCCCTGTAGAGAGGTGGCATTTCAAGTCTCAAGCTATGCAGACTGCCTTTCTAAGGTGTTTCTACACTGCACACTAAGCCCAGGCTCTGACTCAGGGTTGAGCCCAAGTCCTTCCACCCAAATCTGTCTGGCTTGGGTCAGCAAGTACTCAGGACACCAGTCTTAGGACCCTGGTAGGAGGTGGGTGAGCGCCCGAGTCCCACTGTGACTCGGGTCCAAGTCCTGTTATTTTGCAGTGTGGACACGTGTCAAGCCTGAGTCAGAAGATCTGCGTAGTGCTGTCTGGATGCGCTAGAATGGCTATGAGACCCAGTCTAACAACTTTAAATCCAGGTTTACAATGCAGCTTGGATTCTCAAATATGGGCTTGGAAACACTGAGTCAACAAGCCTATGTCCCACAGACCCAGACTTAGCATGCAGTGTAGACTTATCCCTAGTTCATTGCTTGGCACTTATGGGAGCAGATATAACGCAATTGTAACGAATGCATGAAGGGAGGAGTGTGTGTGTGTGTTTGAGGAGCTTGCATTCCTACAGCCATGTGGATGTGCCATCATTAATCCAGTTCTTATCAGGATTAATTTTCTAAAATCAAAAATAACTCTCCTTACATGGAGGTAGAAGCTGTTTTGGCCCATTGGAATCTGGCAGAATGGTAAATGGAGTCACTGAGAATTATAAGACATAGAAGGAGGATTCTTCCCCTGCCCACCTCTTGCTCCAATCTGCAATAACCCATACTAGTAGCAGATAACTACCCAAACGGTGCTGACTCACAGTGATAGTTGGAGGTGTGGCATTCTGTCCGCCCCTGCCCTGCTGCTTAGGGATGGCCATGCGAGTAGTGTGGGCCCACAGGGCTCACTTACCCCTACGTGTCCAGACCCGAGGACCAGTGAAGCCTCACAGGGATGATGGGTGGAGGATTACTACTCCCCCTTATGCTGCTGAGTGAGCTTCTGAGGACATGATGTGGCCCTCATTGAGAAGCCTGAGCAGGCAGAGCCTAACCAGATTTCTTCTACTGTTATTTGTCCATAGATGTTGATAGGGTGAAGAAGCCTGTTTTGCCCACTGATGCTAGCCAATATAGCATGTCACACTGATGAGTCTGATGAGAGCCCTTAGACTGGAGAGGAGTCCAATTGGAAGTGCTGCACTCTGACTTTTCAATCTTACAGTTGAAAAGTCTAAAAGAAAAGCTGTAAATTTTGAGCTTGGATGGATATTTTTAAATTTATTTTTTAACTATACATATGTGTAAACTTGGAGTGCATATTATAATGGCAGGAGGATCTGAAAAAGATCAGCAATTTTTGAGGCTGTAAAGATCACACATTTTTGTAAGAACCGTGGCAGGCCTTATTGCAGATTATTAGCACTAGAAAAGAAAACACTCCCTTTACTGTCAGCATATTATTAAGTGAGACGTTTTCTGACACTTTGTAAAAGCATTTCACAGATCATGAGTGAATTATTTTAAAATGAACCCACAGGTTTTCCATGAATGTTTTAGGCAAAGAGAAGCCAACAAAATGGTCTCGGTATGCACCGCGCAATTGGGAGAAATCTGGAAATATAAATAATATAACCCATGTGGTTTTTTTTTGCTTTGGTGTTACTGTATAAAGGGGAGGGGAGGCTTCCAGAGAAGGAAATGCAGGGGGAGGTAGGAAACAAAACTATCCAGACTTTCCCCTGACCCCATATTGAGATACTTTGAGAGTAGATAGGCTGGAGGGGGTTGGTGATGATATAAATGAAGCCTGTCACTTCTAGATCTCTAGTTCTAGTACAGTACAGTATGGTAGTGACCCAACGGTTCCCAGTAGACAAATGCTCACATCACAAAAATAGCCACCACAATTGGCACCTTTGCAGGCAGACTCAGCAGAGGGTCCAAGGATTGGCTGGGAGAGGAGATTGAATTACCACCTCATTACAGACAGAAGGGATTTCTCCTGGTCTGATTTGAAGCACATTGATGAAGCAGCATGGGGGAAGCTTGCTCTCTTGTTGCCCATGCTGTACCTAATGTAGGGATTGACAGAAAACTTCATTCTTCAGGAATGTAAATCTGGCACTTTTCCTGAGGGCCAAATTGGTTAGGGTACGTCGACCCTGCAGTTAGAGGTGTGACTGCAGCGCACGTAGACATACTTGAGCTAGCTTTAATTTAGCTATCTCTGATACCAACAGAAGTGAAGCCATGTCAGCACAGACTTCATTGTGGGCTCGCCGCCTGAATATGTATCCAGGGTCCCGGGTGAGCTTGTATAGCATGTCCAGCAATCACCACCCAGATGTAGTATGGACATGCCCTAAGAGGGTAATAATTTACTCCTGGCCTATACCAGCAAGAAATTATGATGCCTGCTCTCCTGCTTCACCACGTGACACCTCAGCTGCGCTGGCCAGCTGCGGAGTGGAGCCAAGACTCTGCCTAGTCCAAGTTACTCCCCACCTACCTGCTTACTCCTGCATGCCCAGATCCAAGTAGCCTGTTTAAGGCATTAAGGAATTCTTTCTTTCCCTTAGTTCCCTGCGTGGGTGTGTGTGGTCCAGACCACGATCTAACCCTGAAAGTCTAAAAGGCGATTAACACAGAACTCATTAAAACATTAAATGGCCATTAAAACAGTCTCTTGCTGGTTTTTTAGCCCATCAGTTACAGACTTGTAACTAATACTAAACATTTGGAAACTGAATAACCCCTCTTCCCTCCACCCCTTAGACTATCACCAAAGAAAGGACTAACACAAAATGATCCTTAGTTCCATTATAAGTTTTGGTAACCCTATCTGTTTTTCCACAGACAACCAGCTTTACTGTCTCACTGCCATCCTCTACAGACAGAAGAATTAATTTTAAAATCTCTCCTAGGAATCTCTGTTGGGTTGTTGCTGTTTTTAATATGTTTACTGTTTTTAATCTTGATAATCCTTTTAAAAAACTGTCTGTAATAACCAGTGTTTACCAAACAGGAAAGTAACTGATTTAATTTTGTAAATCTGCATTTTGAACTGCTAAAGACAATGTTACAGTTATTGTGAGCTTTTCAGTAGTGCATCTGATGCCTTATTATAACAGTAATAGTGTTCTGTACAGCTGTAAAATAAAAAAAAATTGTATCATTAATCTTTTGTCTTTGCTGTGGTTTCTTCCCTTTGCTGAAACTGCATATAATAGTATTGTTTTCTCTCCATGCTGCCAAACACATCTGGTTAAAAGGATTATTTTCAGTAACATTCTTCCTTCACACCTCTATTTAATGCACGATCCCCATACTACTCAAGTCAATGGGAGTTATGTCCGTGATTTCACTGGAAGCGAAAGACATTTAAGCCCAGCACAAACAGAAGCAAACTGACATGTAACAGGGGTCATGCCTTGTAACATTGCTTCCAATAATTTGTATGGCTTGCCCAGGCATGATTGTAGGGCCCTAACCTGCAGCTTTTACTCTACCAAAAAAAACAAATAGGAGTGCCACTTCTTGATTTAGATTCAAATTGGAGCAGGGACTGTCTTTGTTTTGTTTCCCCTTTTTCACCCAAGTGGTTAGTCAAAGTTTGGAACCCTGAGGATATTCCAGTTGGGAGTAGAAATTGGTGATAAATAATTCTTTGGTGTAGTTTAATTTACTTACAAAGAATGCAAAGTCCTGTTTCTCTGAATGAAGAAGGAATCAAATAGCAGCAAACAGCTTCTTTTGCTCACAGCCCCAAGAACACTCTTATCAGCCTGCACCCTTGACCCAAAAACCTTTCCCCAGGTTTCTTCTAGACACTGTGCTTTCAGCTGCTCCTTCCAGCTATCATTCTCCCAGTTTCTGTATGTTCTGCAGCCCCATCCCTCCCCCCGCCCCCACCTACCCAAAACAATACTCAGCAAAAGCTCCAGTATTGGGTGGGTTCGGGTTTTGTTTATCGGGTAGGTATTTATCCTTACAGTTACATTAGTTGAAGGCTGAGTTCACACCTATCAATCTCATAAAATGATGGGGCCGTGGTCCTTGACTGTGGTTCCTGGCTACTACTGCAATAGACACCATAACATTAATCCCTGGTGTAACTCTGACCTCAGGAGAATGGCACTAGGGTTACATTTACCCCATTTTGTACATCCCATGGCAATTAAGCGTTAAGGAAGTCCTTGTATTTATAGATATGACAATCCATCAGCTTAAAGACCTAGAAAGCTTTTTAGCGAGAAACAAATACTAAGTTCACTTCTACTGCTCTTAAAGGGCTGTTCATCTAACTCTGGTCTCCTTTTTATATTTGAAGGACTTCCCATAATGCATGCTATTAAATGGAACTCTTTATTTTCTGGGCATAAGTGCTCCAAGGTCGGAAACACTGCAGACTGCAGTGATGTGAGCCATCTCTTATTCCTGTCTGAAACAGTGGATGTTATTAATTTGCATCCTTTTAATAAAAAAAGGCAAGACAGAAGTCTTGTCTTTGAAAAGAATCTGGTTAATATATTTTTTTTTTTTACAAATATATAAATGTGATACTTTTTTTCTGGACACAGTCAAATAATGCACATTTTTATTAGATTTTCAATGTGACGATTGGAAAAATACAATTAAAATTTTTAATACCGTGAATCTGCAAAGGTGCATATAATTTTCTGCTCACTTCTGGGAAGATGCTTCCACCTTTAAAGATGCTACTCAGCATGAGTATTCTGAGCAGTTCCACTGAACTGAACTGAAATTGGCTGGGCTACACATTTGATAAATTGCTCACCAAACTGAGTAAGGGAATTGCAATCTGACCCAAAGTATTTTCCAGAGTCTATGGTCCAGTTTCTGCCACCATTACAATGAGTAGTACTTTACTCTGTGAGTACTCCCATTGGAATGTAGGGGACTACTCAGGAAGCGGCATAAATATCAGGGTAGCATAAATAGTTACTCCTAGGTCTTATAGAGCCCTTTTCACTAGTAGATCTCAAAATGCTTTACAAAGGAAGCAAATATCATTATTCCTATTATATAGATGGGGAAAATGAGGCACAGAAAGGTGAAGTGATTTGCCCATGGTCACCAAGTAGGCCAGCGACTGAGTCAGGAATAGAATCCAGGCCTCCCAGTACTACTCCGGTAGTCTATGAAAAAGGGTATCATAAGATGCCCCTAAAACACCTGAATTGAAGAAGAACTGCAAGTATTTGCAATTTTTATTTAAGTCTTCAGTTTTCAGAGCACGTGCAGCAGCAAACACTTCCTAGCAAAATCAGCCCAAATCATTAGAGCCCTGCGCGGATACAAAATTTGTATCCGCATCCGATCCCCGATCTGCAAACATGGTCTGCAGAATTGCAGGACTCTACAAATCATGTCTAGCTAAAGCTTGCAGTGAACTTGTGATTAAGTTTTTCGTTTGTATTATGATAAACTCTTTTAATATTTCAAAAAATCAATCGGCTTCCATTCCAATAGTAAAACCTGCATTTTTACCTGAGCACATAAAACTTCTCTGGACTAATAAGTCTCTGCTTTGATGGACTGGTACACAAGGAAACTCAGCTATTGTTGAATAAAACATTTCCAGAAGCAAAATTGATTAAGTCCCTTTTGAAGAGAGAAAAATCAATTCTTCCCATTAAAGGTATCTAAAATATGTTGTTCAGCTAGAAATGTAAATAAAGTCTCTTATGAGTCCCGTACTGCAGTCTATCCATTAACAAAACAAGACTGAGGTGGTTTCTTTATAGTGAAAAAATATGAGTTCAGTTCAAATCAAACATAAAGCAACATCTGCCAAACTAATCAAAGCAACTGCATTGGAATATTAATAATGCCACGTAGCTTTTCTGGTGTTTGGGTATTGCCTTCTTCAAGGATTAGCTGTGCACTCAGGAAGAATTGGTAAGGTTGGTGTTGTGTCCTGACTGATTAGGAGCTTCTGGAATGAATCGCGCAGATGCTGTATGTAGTTTTAAAGTAAGATTCCACAGATCACTGGTTTAAGTCTGTGGGAACACAGCATGCAGCATAAATGTCTAAATGACAACGGGAACATCCCCATGCTACAGCAAGAACTTCTCTTTCTGTTAGAGAGTACTATTATTCAAAGAGTGAAAGAGCCATGCTGGCATAAGCAATGGTGTAAATTTGACTACATTGGTCAACCTAGAGGACAGCTCCTAATCCAACAGATCTGGCATCTACTAAAAGTTCAGTTCTTTTTGTGGAATAAAAATATGACACGACTATATCACACGTAAAGGATTTTGTTAATTTCTCAAATGCATTTTGATGTTCATCTGATCAAACCCATATTTGATCTTTCCTGGTTAAATCTCTCAGAAGCTGCGCGATAGTTGCTAAGCTTGGAATGAATCTGCCACAGTAATTTGCAAGCCCTAGCAGGCTATGAACTTCAGTGGGGTTTCTGGTACTGTGGCATGAGGAATGTCCTTCACTTTCTTGGGATCCACTGAGATGCCATCTTTGGAGATTGTATATCCAAAAATTCAAATGTGGGTTTATTGTACTCACATTTATCTGGGTTTAACATGAAATTCTGCTCCTGCAGTCATTCAAAAACAGCTGCTAGTTTAGTGTTGTGTTCTTCAGATGCAGTGCCAAATACTAATGTCATCACTCACGTTAAGAACTCCAGAGATTCCAGCTAGTACCTCACATATGGTGTTTTGAAATATTTCTGCAGCTGAAGAAATGCCAAAACGGAGTCATTTATAGCGGTGTAGACCCACGTGTGTCATGAAGGTTGTTATGTACCTTTGACTCAGGGTGGAGCTCAAGTTGCTCCCTTCAGATCTGCAATAGTGTCACCTACAGTGTGGGTGATGTGTCACTCATGCTTGATAGCTCAATTGAGTAAACACATGTCCACACAAATTCAGATTTTGCCTGGTCGCTTCGGTTTCTGGGCCACTACTATAGGGGAGACCCCTGCTGTGGGGCCTTCCACTTGCTCACGGATGTCAAGATCTTCCAGGTGTGCTAATTCTTCTTCCATTAGCTTTCTAACATGGAAAATAATACATCTGTATGGTAGAGATGCGAGCTGAACCATGTCATCAAAGTGTAATTTTCATTTGCTTTCCCTTCAAATTTCCTATTCGTTTGAGCATATCCTTATAAGACTGGAGGAGTTAATTTAGCCTGTTAGGCTGCACCATTTGGATCATCTGAATCGGTCCTCGTGCACTTGCTGTGGCATAACTAATCAGTGTATCTGTGACATTAGTCACCAGGTACACTGAACTGGTAACAGACCTATCTTAAATCAAAATAAGCGGAGAATACACCACAAATTATCAGTGCATCTGGATTTCCATAGGCACATACTTTTACTGCTGTCAGTTGTAAAAATGGTTTCTGTGATATGGCTTTAGACACACTTTGTCCATCATATTCATGGATGCACCAGGATCAGTTAAAACTTCAGTTTTGTATCCTTATCTGATGATGTGGCATCATGGCTGAACAATCATAGAACTGGAAGGGACCTCGAGAGATCATCTAGTCCAGTCCCCTGCACTCATGGCAGAACTAATTAGCTAGGCCATTCCTGACAGGTGTTTGTCTAACCTGCTCTTAAAAGTTTCCAATGATGGAGAGTTCACAACCTCCCTAGGCAATTTATTCCAGTGCTTAACCACCCTGACAGTTAGGAAGTTTTTCCTAATGTCCAACCTAAACCTCCCTTGCTGCAATTTAAGCCCATTGTTTCTTGTCCTAACCTCAGAGGTTAAGAAAAACAATTTTTCTTCCTTCTCCTTGTAACAACCTTTTACATACTTGAAAACTGTTATCATGTCCCCTCTCAGTCTTCTCTTTTCCAGACTAAACAAACCCATTTTTTTCAATCTTCCCTCATAAGTCGTGTTTTCTAGACCTTTAATCATTTTTGTTGCTCTTCTGTGGACACTCTCCAATTTGTCCACATTCTTCCTGAAATGTGGCACCCAGAACTGGACACAATACTCCAGTTGAGGCCTAATCAGAGCCAGGGCCGGCTCTAGGCACCAGCAAAACAAGCTGGTGCTTGGGGTGGCACATTTTTAGGGGCGGCATGGCCGGCGCCAGAATGCCGCCCCTA